GATTCGAGTCATTTAGAGGTTGATTCGCAAGGCAAGGGTTTGTTGCAGTATTGAGTTGCTCACTCTGAGGTAAGTAACACTTCTAAACTTGGTACTGAGGGTATGAATCCCTGGAATACATGTTATGTGGTTGGTGTTGGGATGACGCACATGCTAGGTGATGGTCATGTGGGCATGCACCAGGGTAATTATGACTCGGTTGATTCTGTGGTACTGTGTCATTATCTAGTCTTGTTTCTATCCGTGTAATCCAACGTGTTAGAGTAATTGAGTTGTGATTAGTGTTAGAAATCATGTTTAGGCTATGTGCTTATTCTGTTAGGAGCCACTTAGGTTATTTGTGCTATTGTGTTATTTGCTTATGTTGTAATTATGTACTCAGTCATATTTATTCATTTGCATATCATATTTATGTCTCTGCTATCATTTAAGGTTACATCATGTTACCATTGTTAGAGTTGTATGGTATGAGATTTGTACGCCCGTGAGACAAGAGAGGTTTATGACTGAGTTAGGGCCTGAGAGTCGGATTATGAGTGATATTTATGGGATCGGGCTGCATGTCGTAGTAGGCCTTATTGGCTTATTTATGGGATCGGGCTACACACCGCAATATGCTTTATCGACTTATTTAATATTATGGATCGAGTTGCACCCCGCAGTAGGCGTATTGGCTTTATATTAGTGCTTGGACAGGATCCGTCCTTCCAGAGTCTGACATACCAGCAGCGAGTGCAGGTACCGTATAATGTTGAGTGATTGTGTGTGATGACTGGGAGTTGAGAGTGACAGAATGAGTACTATGAGAGTAAGAGTACCTGAAATTATCACTATGATGGATTACATTTGACATGCATATTTGATATGTAGTCGTAGAGATGTAACATTCCTCATGCTAGCTGTACTTGGCATATTTTATCAGTGTTGAGCTTAAATTATTGAACGTGAAATCATGCCTAAATTTCGGTACTGTGTACGAGCTGAATATGGATGTTCTCTGAGTTATTACTGTCAATAGCTTGATATATTTATGTTTTCATTATCCTGATTCATACTGTATCTTTCTGAGCTCATCACTGCTTTCAGCCCAAGGTTAGTCAGATTACTTATTGAGTATATTGGGTTTGTTGTACACATATTACACTCTGAACTTTGTGTGCAGATCAAGAAATAGCCGGACGCGGTGGTTTCTAGAGTTGTGATAATACCTCTTCGGAGACTTTGAGGTAGCTGCTATGACGTCCGCAGACATTGACTCTCCTTCCTTCCATTTTATTTCAATATTGTTCTATTTTTTGACAGTTGTACTAAAATTTTAGACTATGTTAACATTAGTAGCTCATGTACTCTGTGACACCATGATTTTGGGGTTTGTTGTAGTTGAGTTTCAGTTGTTTTTCTCAGTTATCTATGAGATTTTTCACAGTTGAACTTGTTAAAATCATATTTTAAATTTAAATGCGTAGTTGTCATGTGATTGTCGGATTGCCTAGTAATGTGATAGGCACCATCACGATAGGTTGGGATTTGGGTCGTGAAAAAAGCAAAACGACTGGTTGAGTCATTATGTTATTAGTCTATTTCAAATTATTACAGTTTATTATTGTTAATGGTTTGATTTTGAATTTGCTAAAACTGGTTAAGTAATTTAGCTAACGTTGGCTTGCCTAGCAAGTGAAATGTTATGTGCCATCATGATCCCAGGGGTGAGATTTCAGGTCATGACAGTTGTACTCATACTACACTTTTGCAGCTTGCGTGCAGATTTTGGAGCTGAGTTGTTATGGATGACGGAAGCTAGCATTGAAGATGTACCTGCTCTCTAGATATAGCTACCACTTGTCCTTGGTAGTTTTAGATTCTTACTCTGCTTATATATATTTCAAACAAATGTTGTATTTATTTTCATATCAGATTTGTAAATCTAAATCTTAGTGGCTCATGACTTGTACTCCCAATCCTTGGGATATTGTATTTAAACTCAACTATTTTATTTGTTGATTATTTATTATCTTTATTAGAATTATGTGACTATTACTTGTCTTACCTAGCAAGGTGGGCTAGGTGCCATCACGACTAGGTGGATATTGGGTCGTTACATTTGTAACTGCCGATATAACTCGCCAGTTTTGGAAAGAATATCTAGCGTAGTGGATATGAGTGCATCCCTAATATTTCGAAGTCATTTGAGGACCATGCCAAATCCCAAGTTATTACTGTTGATACTCAATTTTGTCCTCTTGATATCCTATTCATCTTTCATTAATTACTTTTATTTTTATAATATTTTAAGTACTATTTACATAGCATTTATCATGTTATAACTCTTTATTATATGTTAAAAATTGTAATTTTACCATTTATTAGTACTTCATAGCAAACTAAAATCATTATCACAGTAGATTGGTACACAAATAATTTTGTTCGATCAAAACCCTAGCTGCCTCACTGAAATCCATCAATCCCTTTCTAAAATTAGGCTAATCAGTGATCAATCGGTGATATACTTCCCTTATTTGTTCAATATCACTATCGCTCGCGCAGTTATGGTAATAATTGATACTGTTTCGTTTATAGGAAGTCTAATTCTCTTGAATCAAGCCAATATGGCTCCGATCATTGGAGTTTCTAAAAGATCCTAGCTTTATACGTTGAAGAAGAGGGGATATATTCTAGATCTTGGAAAATCTCTGCTGATTCTCTCTCGATTAGGGTTTATGTACGAGTTTGCCCTAATCTGACTCTAATTCGATTTGCATGCGATTGATTTCTTTCCTTATATGTTTATTTTATATTGAAACTATATAAGCCCCTTCCTCCCTTTCCCTTCAGGGTAGACGTTAATCACATCTCTCTCACTCTTACACTGATTCTATTTTAGTATTATTTGTTCGAGTACTGCTTTACTGGTATTTTTTCTGAGTTCGTGGTGATTGTTTGTTTTGGCATGTTCTTAAGCTGGCTGAAAGCCAAGGTTTTTGGATATTATCTCTCACTCCCTTTTCTGCTCGAGACTTATATAAGTGCTCGTAAACTTTGACATGCCGTAATTTCGAGAAATTTCTGGTGTATGAACATTTGGTAATTCACAATTAAAACTACCTTTGTATTTTTGGATTTTCTATTGTCTCGTTCAAATCGCAGATTGGTTAGTATTTTTTACTGCACAGTTTTAATATTGATATGGTTTAACTTCAAATATGTGGTCAATTCCATTGATTGGTGTGGTTACATATTTAGTAGGAATCATGCCCATATGACTCTTTGTTCATGCGTAAAGCTCAACATTGCATTATAATCCTTACTCTCCACATGTTCCAGAATTCTTTCTCTTATTCGCTTGAATCTACAAGTTTGAAACTTGTATCTCTATGAGTGAGATGAGCATAAGTTCTTCAATTTTGGAGCTTTATATCAACTATGGTGTTGAATCTATGTGAACGTAATTGTTTGAGTTTGAAACTTTAATGTCTGAACGAGTTCCTTTATGTATGTATGTGATTCTGGTCTATTAAGTTCTTGAAGTAGGAATATGCTTATATAGCCTCATATTCTATCTATTGCATGTCATCCATACTATATATTTGGGAATTTGCATGATTATAATTCAAGCTAATGCTTCTGATATCACTTACCTATAGGATCCATGTTGATCCACATAACTACTTTAGTTTATGCCTCATTGTTAAAGTCTAAGCCCTTACTAAGTAGCTAAGCTATCTGTATTGTAATTTTCCTTTATGTTAACACTTATGCTATATGTCATAACTGCATGTGTTTAAAGCCTTGAATTTATGTGATTGAATCTTGTATGCGTAATTGTGTTCTGTCTTGAATTTATGGTAGAATTCCCGATTGAAGCTCGCATCTCTAGCTCATGGTAGAACTAATTCTTATAAGACCCTCTTGTGTTGAATTTGCGTGTATGCTAGTTCGGGATCCAGTAGACTCATATGGTAATAAGAAAGTTTACCTTTGTAAATCTTTGCAATTATTAATGGTTATGTTGCATTAGAAATCATGTCTATGGAGTTGCTATCTCATCTATGTGTTGTAAAGGGGCAGACCCATTATCAAACTGCATGCCGCTAGCTTTCAGAATTTCACTATTCTAAAAAAAATATTACAACTATCAATTTAGCCTACATGCCACCTAGTTTTCTTGTCTACAAGTTGTGACGAAAACAATTTAAGTATTTTTATATTTTCATTTATTCTAGGTTATAGATTAATGCTATTACATATAGTTATCTGTAGTTACCTTTTTAATTGACCTAATTGTATAAATATTTTTATATTATCAATGCATAGAACTTAACTGACACAGATCAAAGGTTTCCTTCTTAATTATTTTCGGAAGGAAGATTGCGCGATCTTTCAAGATCAAGAAGAAACAAAGATTTTTTAGGCACAAGAATTTTTTTGATGCAACTCATTTATATGTTCTGTACGGCCTCTTAATTAAATTGCATATTAAAATTTCTTATTGGAATGATTGAAGTACTAGTATAAGATAATGGACAATTTATTTTTCATATCGTCTTTTTGTCTTCTGATCTAGTTCTTCTTCTATTCACGAAAAAATACATTTAATTTTTTTTTTCTATTATAGATCTATGTCTACATTAATTCCTATAGAAGTGAATAAAACCCTTAGCCAAATTATAATTGTAATATTAATAAGATTATAAATTATGTCTAAATACAGAAATAATGAAAACTAACTCAAATCGAAGAAAACATATAGTAGTAAAAAGTAATACCATCATATATTAATAATAGAAATCATAGCAGAATATAGCTTGTAGCATCATCAAAACAAACTAAAAAGTACGAAATAAAAATATCACGTCCTAATAATATGAATTTAAACTTAAGCACTAGGTGCATTAATTATTTGTATTTTCAGAATAAGCCTCTCAAGAAGACGAAGATGAAGCCTCATTTTTCAAATGCTTCAAACGATTATTCAAATTAAAAACAGTTGCACTTAATCATACTTTTTTACTTCATCTGCATTAAACTGCTCAATTGACTCCCAACGGTATCTTTCGCTGTTTTCTTTCATGTTGTCAAGTAGAAGAGACTCAGCACTTGTAGCTTCTTTTATGTTGTCAAACAATTCCCTCCTATTGTTGAGTTGATTTACTTTGTGTCGTGCATGAGCCGCAACTAGGCGAGTGCTTTCACTTAATTGCATATTAGGATTTAAAAAACGATCAATAATCGCTTCTGATGTAGGATGAAAAAATGAAAAAGGTTTACCGGTAGGAGAAAAGAGTACAATTCCAATATCAATATTGCATAGCTTAACAAGTTCGCTGGCCTGTTTATACAGACCCGAACGACGCTTTGAAAATGTCACATAGCGGTCATCCTCATTTTCTATTTTTTTCATCGGAATACTTTGCCTCCCTCTAGTCTTCTTACCCTCCATGGCTAAAATTATAAGGAAGAAGTATAATATAAAAGCTTATTGATGAGTAGTTTTCTTTAAGAAATGATACTTATGAGAAATAGAATACCATGACTATTTATATACATCAAGACTTCATCATAATAAATTTCTAGCCAAATATTATAAATGAAAGCAATCAAAGAAATCTAAACTTTTAAGTTAAAAAAATAAATATTTTATCATACTTACTATAATTTACCAAGTTCTGATTAGAAAATGTGGATGTAAATCAAAGAAACACAAAGTAAGTACCAGAATCTTTAAATTTAACTCAAATAGGAAAATAATTTAATGCCTTTAGAAATTCATCAACTACTAGGTGTTCAAACTAACTCGGGTCAGATTTAAAATTTAACTTGAATAGGAATGTTTTAATAATGAAAATCAAACTTTCCAAATGCATTAACATCAACCAAATCTGAAAATTTAAGTTTAATTGGAAAAGTTTTAATGTTCTAATTACAAAAATAAGTGCAAATGTAATTAGAAGATAAACCAAATTGAGAAAAAACATTAAATTTGCATTACTACCATAAAAATTTGAAATTAACTTGAACTAGGTAATTACTCACTAATTTTACCAAGTACTATTTTTGAAATGCAATATAACTAAGAGGGACACACGTGCATACCAAAAATGTTTTCAAATATACGAAGAACACTACGAATAGAATTATGCGATAATTGTACACATGACACTATAGAATTTACAATTGGAAACAACTCGTGATATCGAAATACCCTAGGTCGTCAAAAGAAAATTCATCCGATAGGTCGTTTTGAGTACTAGTGTCACGACCTGAAATCCCAACCTCAGGATCATGATAGCGCCTAATATCCATTTGCCAGGCAAACTAACGTGAAATAATTAATTAACCAATTCTAACTGTTAAAAACACAATAATGATATTCAACGAGAAATAAAAGCCAAGTCTAACATAGTACTAATATAAACTACGTGATAATACCTTCTCCTAGAAATCTGGAGTCACGAGTACACGAGCAACTATAAGTCTACAAACAAGGTCTGAAATAAATACAATTATTTTGAAAGAAATAAACAGTAAAGCGGGAAATGGAAGGGGATTTCAAGGTCTGCGGATGCCAGCAGATCTACCTCGAGTCTCCGTATGTAATGATCCGAGCTGACGTACTTCATGCACCGCTAGGACTAATACCAGTATATGCACAAGAAGTGCAGAAGTGTAATATAACTACTACCGAGCCAATTTACTCCATAAGTGTCGAGCTTAACCTCTACGAGGTAGTGACGAGGCTAAGACAGGACACCTACGTAAATAAATCTGTACAGGTGTATATAAAGAAGCAATAATACAAAGGATAACAACATACTAACAGGGAGGGGCATTCAAAATGGGGAAGATATAATAAATACGGCAAGTATGAAATCACGAAATATCCAAGTAAATTACCAAAATTGAAAATTAGTCAAATCAATGATATGAAAATGGCATGGCATCAGCCTTCGTATTTTTACTCTCGTCCTCACCATGTAATAATATGAATATAATGGCACGACATCACCCTCCATGCTTTTACTTTCTTCCTCACCGTGTAATAATAATAATATGAATGAAAGGCACGACATCACCCTTCGTGCTTTTACTCTCTTCCTCATCATGTAATAATAATAATAATAATAATAATAATAATAATAATAATATGAATTCGAATAATAAACAATGCAGAGGATAATTTAACTTCAAATATGGTGCCATGATATCAAACTTCAACTTCCAAAAATATTCAACAACTTTGAAATAAGCAACAAATACGAACCGAATAATCAAATAAGTAATAGTCTAACCTAAGCATGAATATCATAATTAATGGAACAATATAATACAAAGAAATATTTTTCACCCGCATGCTTTAACCATTGACAACACATAGTCTCGTCACATCGCATATACATTGTCCCATACATAAAACACATAACAAATAGACCAACCAGTACTAATCCCTCAAGTCAAGGTTAACCATGACACATACCTCACTCTGCAACCAAATTAATGCCCAACCACGTCTTTCCCTCTATAATTAGCCTCCTAACTAATCAAATCTAACCAACTATAGTTCAAATAATTCAAAATAAGCTTTAGAAACTACTCACGAGTGAAAAAGATTCAATATTTAATATTTTTGAAAAAAATTAACAAAAGTAAACCCCGGTTCTGCTTGGTCAAAGCCTGAGATTCAGATCAAAACTCAATTACCCATTCACGCCCCAGCCGTGTTATGTGATTAGTTTCGAAATCCAACCTCATTTGAGGTCAAAATCTCAATTTCTCAAAATCCCCAATTTCTACCTAAATCCCTAATTTCTATGAAAACAAATAGATTAAAGGTTAAAATCAATCGGTATTTAAGGAAATGTAAGGAAACAAGTTAAAATCTACTAACCTATGAAGTTGGGATGTAAAACCTCTTCAAAATCACATCTAGGCTGGCCTCAAACTTGAAAATGATGAAAAATGGGATAAATCCCAACTTTGGGATATTTAAATCACTGGGCGTCATGCTTTTTTCGTGTTCGCGAAGGGCCTGGCGTTATCGCGAAGAACAACAGCTTTAGTGGCCTTCTATTTCACAACAAATTCTATACGTTCATGATGGACTGTCCTGCCTGGCCTTCGCGTTCGTGTAGTGTATTTGACTGCCTCCCCCGAAAATCTCATAAACCTTCGAGTTCGCGAGAGGATGGTCGCATTCGTGAAGGGTAAGCCCTCCAACTCTTCATGTTCCCGACCATGCCATCGCGTTCTTGATGAAGGATTTCACTCCAGCCCCAAGTTCCCCTTCGCGATCGGGAAGCACAAAGAGTCAGATACGAGCAACAACAAAAACCAGCATATTCCTTAAGTACAAAAATGAACTGTAGCCTATCCGAAAGGCACCCGAGCCCCTCGGGCTCTCAAACCAAACATGCACACAAGTGTAATAACATCATAAGAACTTTCTCCCACGATCATAACATACAAATAACACCTAGAACTACAAATCGAACATCAAAAGCATGAAATTTTAAAAGAAACTCAAGAACTTTCAAATTCACTACCGAGCATCCGAATCCTATCAAATTAACTCTGTTTTGCACCAACTTTTGTAGACAAGTCTTAAATAGTAAAATGACTTACACCAAGTTCCGAAACCGAAATCCGAACATGGTAGAAATAAAGCCAACCTACGGTCAAACTTCTGAATTCTTTAAACCATCAAATTACTGGTTTTCAACAAATCACATCGAATCAAGTTAGGGACTTCCGAATTTAATTTCGGACATACACCTAAGTCCAAAATCACGATACGAACCCGCCGGGATCGTCAAAATACCAATCTATATCGGTTTACGTAAAATGTTTACCGTAGTCAACTTAAATATTTTTAAGACTAAAATTCATATTTTCTTTAGTTTTTCACATAAAAACTTTTCGGAAAAAGACACGGACTGCGCATGCAAATCAGGAATCACTAAATAGAGCTAATCAAGGTCTCAGAACACACAAATAAGTGCTAGAACTCAGAATGACCTATCGGGTCATCACATTCTCCACCTAACGTTCAACCTTGAATGAATATAAAAAGGTACGTGGACTAATGAAAGGTGTGGATATCTACTCCGCTTATCGGACTCGGACTCCCACGTAGCTGCCTCGATCGACTGACCTCTCCACTGCACTCTAACATAAGGATAACTCTTAGACCTCAACTTTCGAACTTGCCATGTTAGAAATGGCCACCGGCTCCTCCTCGTAAATCAAATCCATGTCTAATTGGACTGAGATGAAATCTAATACATGGGATGGATCACCGTAATATTTTCGATTCATGGAAACATGGAACACCGGGTGAACTAGTGATAAGGTAGGTGGCAATGCAAGCTTGTAGGACACCTCACCAACTCTATATAGAATCTCAAAGAGTCAGATATACCCAGGGCACAACTTTCCCTTCTTTTCGAACCTCATCACATCCTTCATTTGTGAAACCCGCATCAAAACCCTCTCTCTGACCATGAATGCAACATCACGAACTCTCCGATCATCATAACTCTTCTGTCTAGACTGAGCTGTACGAAGTCGGTCCTGAATCATCTTGACCTTTTCCAAGGCATCCTGAACCAAATCAGAACCCAACAACCGAGCCTTTCCAGGCTCAAACCAACCAACTAACGAACGACACCGCCTCCAATATAATGCCTTATAAGGAACCATCTGAATACTTGATTAGTAGCTGTTGTTGTAGGCAAACTCGACAAGCGGCTAGAACTGATCCAAAGAACCCAGAAATCCATAACACAGGCGGAAGGCATATCCTCTAATACTTAAATGGTGCGCTCGGACTATCCGTCCGTCTAGGGGAGAAATGCTATACTCAACTCAACTCATGTGCCTAACTCGCGCTGTACGATCCTCTTGAAGTGCAATGTGAACAATGTGACCTGATCAGAAATAATTGACACCGGCACACCGTGAAGATGAACAATCTCACGGATATAGATCTTCGACAATCGCTCTGAAGAATAGGTAGCTGCCACTGGAATGAAATGTGTCGTCTTAGTCAACATGCCCACTGTGAACCGTACTGCGTCGAATTTCTTCGAAGTTCATGGGAGCCCAAAAACGAAATCCATTGTAATATGCTCCTACTTTCACTCGGGAATCTCAAATCTCTGAAGCAAACCACCAGGCCTCTGATGCTCATACTTCACCTGCTAGAAATTCAAACACCGAGCCACATGTGCAAGTATGTCTTTCTTCATTCTTCTCCACCAATAATGCTACCTCAAATCCTGATACATCTTGGCGGCACCCGGATGAATGGAATACCGCAAACTGTGGGCCTTCTCATGAATCAAATCACGAAGCCTATCCACATTGGGCATACAAATTCGACCTGCATCCGCAACACCCCATTATCTCCAATAGTAACCTGCTTTGCATCACCGTTTTGCACCG